TCTTGCAAAGGGGGCTGGGAAATAAGGAAAGGTACAGGGAGGAGTCGCCCTCATAGAGTTAGGAACAGGGCGGTAGTTGGAGTGGTTGGGACACAGAGAAGGTCTCTCCCTACAGTCTAACAACCAGTAGTGAAAGAAGCTAGAGTTTTGTTGCAAAGTTCAAAAACTTAAGTTTGGTTTCCAGGCACCCACTACACCATGGCATCATCACCCTTCAGCCCAGCTCCCATCTCAGCATGTCCAGCCCCTCCCTTCAGCCACCGTGAACTTGGCTTGGGTCCTAGAAGGCATGTGTTCAATCTCATCATCTCTTGTCTCTGTACTCTCACATCTGGACTCCTGTCTTCTCATCCTGAAGTCCTCTTTCTCTACTTTGTAGCTCCTACTTATCCTTTAAGATTTAGCTGAGACATCACCTCCTTCAAGAAACCATCGAGGATCCTCAGTCTGATCCTCCGAGCCCACACAGCACCTCTGTGTGCTCGTGGCATCTGTTCACACTTCTCTGTCTTTAACATCACTGAGAGTTTCCGGAGGGCGTGTACCAAACCTTATTTAATTTTATTCCTCCAGCAGCTGGGACAGAACTTAGTATATAGTTGACCTTCAAGAGACATTGGTTGATTGAATGAATGAACTAGAAAATGAGCATATATCTCCACTCAGGTAAGTGGTCATAATAAGATATGATAATTATATGAATAGTAATTAGTAACTGCTACCATCAGATGCCAAGACACTGAGTTGAGCACTTTATCCACATTATGACAATGGCTCTTCTCTATCTAGCACTTACTGCTGTCCAGGCATGTGCCAGTTACTGCACATATGTTAACTTCATCCCAGATCTCTGAGGCAGGACTTATTATCAGAGGCTCAGGGAGCAAAGTGTCTGCCCAAGGCATACAGCTAGGAAACGGCAGCACCAAAGCCCCTAGGTGAGGTCTGCCTGGCACTCTCCCCTGAACCATGCCATCTGCCAGAGAGACGGCTACTGCTCCTTGTTCTTGCAGTGGACTTTGGATTGGCCTCTGTTGGTTCCTGTTCCAACCCCCCGGTTCTTCTTCCAATTCCCAGTACCCAGATAGCTCAGCCTCACAGTTTTGCATCCCACCCAATTACTGGGAAGGCTCCCTTCTTTTGGCTCAGGAAACCCCAGAAGGGCCAGAGTGTGCAGAGCTCAAGTCCACAGCTGATGCCAGGGAAACAACACAGGCATTCAGAAGCCAAGCTGCTTTATCTGACTGCTGAGTGAGATTAACTCTTGCACAGCTGCAACAAAGAGAGGAACTGCAACTAGACACATCCCGAGAGGGCCTAGAGGATAAGACCCAACAGACACCCCCTCTCCTGCCATATTTATTTCCAGACCATGGGACTAACGAGTTGAAATGGAATTTGGGGACAGCTGGCACATCCTCCCAAAGGCCTCCTCTAGAACTTCATCTCTCACCTGTTGTTCTAGTCCTCTTAGGATTGGGGGGCACAGGTGTCTGGAAGGTGCTTAGCATCTTGTTTTCTACTTTCCCTTTTCTGTCCCCAAAAGGAATAAATACCCAGAAGTGGCCTGGTTCTCACTGAAGTGCATTTCACTGGTGTTCTCTAGAGGAATTAAGCCAAGGGCCTTATTGCAGGCAACAGAGGACAACAGGGAATGTTGGGGGTATGCATTCCCCAGACCTTTCCTGACACCACATGTCAAGCCATCTGTTGGGTGCTGGAGACAGCAAGTAAATCAGATATAATTCCTACTGTGGTCAGGAGGGGGAGACAGGCACAGTCTAACAGGTGCAATGACATGTGAGGATGGACATCTAAATAGGGTGGAAGAGGGGCCAGAGGGGGAAGCCATCAGTTTTTTGGTGATGTGGCATAGGGGTGGCAGGTGGTCAGGAGAGGCTTCAAAGCAGAAGAAACCCCAGAGCTACCTGTTGAAGGATGAACAGGTGTCCCCTAGGCAGACAAAGCAGCCTGGAAGGGCACTTACAGCAGCAGCAGAAACAGAACCAAGCAGAGGGGCTTGAGGAGCAGGGGTTCAGCTGTTGGGAGCTATTCTGTAGAGTGTGAGTCTATGATATGAGGGAGGGCGTGGCAAGAAATAAGGCAGGACCAGGCGGAGGGGTTGAGGAGCTCAGGCCTTAATCTGAGGACAGCTAAACCAGTGAAAGCTTTGAAGAAGGGAGATTATATGCTTTGAGCAGTGCTTTAGAAAGACTACTCTGGCTGGAAAGCAGACTACGGGATGCAGAGGGTTGGCTGGGACAGAGCTTGAGGCCAAAAGACCAGTTAGGAGGCTGATATGATCGAAAAGAAGCATTTCTATGGGGGCCCAGCACAGTTTCCGGAGCTCTCCCTGCCCCCTCCCCCAACTAATATGGTGCATAGAGTATTGTTATCTCCATTAGATGAATTAGGAAACTCAAGAATAGAGAGATTAAGTCACTTGCCCAAAGGCACATGGTAAGTGGTAGACTCAGGATCTGAGCCCAGTCAGTGCAGCTTGAGAGTGCATGTTCTCAGCCACTACGCTTTGGTGCCACTCCATCAAAGATGACAAAGGCTTGAGACAAGGCAATGTGGTTAGAGGAAAATATTCCTGATGGGCCTGCTGTATATTTGTGGCTCCCCTGAAATAGCTTCTGGCTTCTACAGATAGAGGGGTGAAGCCTTTAATTCTGAGGTCCTTGGAAAAACCTACAACATGCAACTTTAAGGGGCTGGAAGCTCCCAGGACTGGGCCATGATAGGAAGCCACTAGGGGTCACTTGAGTCTCCAGACACTCATATCTTTGGGGAATGGAGGTAATACTTTTGCTTGTGTGTGTGTGTGTGTGTGTGTGTGCCTGCAAACTCTTCAAACACAGGGACGCAGGGTACAGGGAGGTAAGAGAAGGGTGTGCCCCAAGAAGAACCTTACTCTTTTCAACTCCCTAACAATTGACCCACACAACTCATGGCCATGCCTGCTGCAGAGGTTGAAGTCAGGTGGCTCCTGAAGGGACTGTGTCCTCTGCATGCCTCAGTGACATGTTGCCAAGACTCTGACCACCTGGGCCACCTGGGGTGGCTCCACTTTCCACTCTCTCAGCTCCTAGGAGAGACAGGATTCCTAGGAATAGAGGTAGAGGAGAGGGCAAGAGTTCTGTGTAAGAGTCCTCTGAGAGAAGAGAGGCTGAAGGTCTTGCAGTGGACCTCAGATTGGCCTTTGAGGAAGGGTACATGTGGTTTCTGTGTAATGCAATTGGTGGTATGCAAAGTTGGACTTTGAACTTGTTGGCTCTGAGCATTGGACAGCTTTTTAGAGCTTCATTTTTCTTATTTTAAAAATGGGAATAAAACTCATTAACGCAAGGCTGCGGTGAATATCAAAAGGCATACTGGCTGTTAGAATGCAATTCCACACACTTTGCAAACCAATAGTCAGATTTTTAGAATTACATTTGATGAGCCCTGCTGTAAAACTTGGAGCTGAAGCAAGGGCCTGCTGCTACTTGGAGGTAACCTTGAACTTTAACTCTTGAGGATGCTAATTAGTGATCAGCGAAAAAACAATAAACAACAATAGATCACTGCCCTTTCCTTCATCTTTGTGGAACTTAGAATTGTTCTTGGGTTTCTGAAGAAATCACTTAGAAGCATATATTAACAGCATCTCCTACTTGCCAAAGCAGAGAGCCACCAGGTAGCTATTCTTTAAAGGCCAGCCGAAAAGCCCAGGAAATAAGGAATGTTTTCAGAGTGTATAATTCAGGGCTACTCAACAGACAGGCTTAAAGCAAAGCCAGCAGGACAAGGTTGAAGCCAGGATTGCCTTCCTAGACAAGGAATAACCCAATCAGCCAATGGGAGACCTGGCCTGACCGGCATCGTGCCAACACCTGTTGGAACTGTGGCATCTCTTTACCATCCCAGAAAAAGCTTTGTCAGAACTGAGGCTCTCAGGAGTGATGAATCAGAGTGGGTAAATTCACCATCAGAGCACTACCAATAAACATACACACCAACCTTCCCTGCGCTAGTGGAAAAGCCCAAACCCACCTAAGGGACATTTACACATGAATGGCTGGACAGGCGCGCATCATGCTGGGGCCTGGCACCAGGACTCTTCCAAGGCAGACTGCACAAGGCAGATACCTTCTGTCCAACAGCTGCGTTTTCCAGACCCACAGCGTGGGGGAACCGGTACAGCAAATGGTTTACAAACCCTGAGCACAGCTTCTCCTGGCCTCGGCTGTTTGCATTCACATCCCTGCTACGGTGCTTTCTCAACTCCAGAGCATTCCTCCAGACCAGAAAACTCATACTTAGATTTTATGGGGAACAGAGGGCAGGTGGAGGGCCCAAGCGCGGCCCACGACTGCTCAATTCCCCTGGATGCTCAAGACTCCTGCACTTTGAAAAAGTAGCCAAAGCAAGCTGCTGCCTCCCCCATCAAACTGTCTACAGCTTCAGTGTTGTTGGTTCATATTCTGGGAGTTTCCTCCCAGGTTCGCCTAGATTCTAAGTGTTTTGGAACTTTGAAGACATAAGCTGCTTAGGAGCGTAAGCCTGCCTGGGGACTCTTGAGTGATTCCTGGATGGTCCATTTCTGAAGAGCTTCCTAATTTTTTTTTTTTTAAGAGCATTGGTTTTCCCAAAGACAAGTCCGCACTTAAGAGATCTACACTCCAGACACAGAGCAGTTTCTTGGAGTCTTGTGACTAATATTCACAGACGGGACCATAAGGAGTTGAATGAGGGGTTTGGGGGCTGATACTGGAAGCAGGGGCTGGGACAGGGGAGCTCCTACTGGAGGAAGGCGACTCCTCCTACAGTTAATCCAAGTTCCCACAACCTGGAGAAGACTCAGGGGATCCAAGAGTGGGTTCTGCCTGGGCATCATGGAATGGTAACACCGCAAGAGGCCTGAGGACAGCCCCGAGAGGCAGGAACACCTCAGGCTTCCTAACTCCCGGGGAGGGGGGCGCAGAGGGATTGGGTTCGCGCGGAGGGCAACTCACGGAGGAGAAGTTGTGCGGCCCGCAGAGCTCGCCGCGGTACTTGCAGGAAAGCAGCATGTCCTCGAGCTGGTGGCCCAGGCGGTCCATGAAGGCGGCGCTGATGCCCTCGAAGTGGCGCGGCGGCAGGAAGAGGCGGAAGTCCGCCAGTTTGCGGAACCACTGGCGGCGCGGCTCGTCGCCCCGCAGCAGCTCGCTGACGAGCGGGCGCGCCGTGCGGTTGGGCAGTAGCAGCCCGAGCCAGTGGCCGGCATAGTAGAGGTCCCCCTTGGAGAGGCGCGGGAAGCGCAGCGGGTTGTTGTTGCACACGGTGACTGCGGGGAAGGGTAGCTGGCGGCTCCACTCGCGGTGCACCCGCGTGTGCGACGGGAAGCTGAGCCAGTAGAGTAGGCGGTTCGAGGACCAGGACAGCAGCAAACCGAGGGACGTACAGAAGGCCAGCACCCACAGCGCCCGCCTCTGGAAGGAGCCCCCGGCCGCCGTGCGCCCGGCGCACATGTGCCGCAGCCCGTGCAGTTTAGCGCGGCTCAGCGACGGCCGCCCCCTGCGGGCGACCCCCTGCCCCTGCAGCGCCCGCTCGCCGCCTCTGCCGCCTCCGGGCTGCCCGGCCGCCGCCACCGCCGCGGGCGCCGGCTCCTCGCGGGCCATGCGGAAGCGTCCCGGGCCGGTGAGCGCGGCCGCTGGCAGCCGGGCTCCGCCGCTCCGGCTCATTCATTCAGCCCGCGGCTGGCGGCAGCGGCGGCGGCCCCGGCCGGGCGGAGCCGCCATGGGAGTCCGCAGCAGCAGTGGAAGCAGCAGCAACGGCAGCCGCGCGGAGCCCGCGCCAGGGAAGCGTGCGCCCGAAAGGAGCTCCGGTGGCGCGGCATGCCCGCCCGGCACCGCCGCTGCCGCCTCCGCGGGCGCCCGCCCGGGACTGAGCGCCGCCTCGGCCCGTCGCCCCTGGCAGTAGCCTCTCCTGAGCGTCTCCCAGGCTCTCCTGGCCCCTGGTCTTTCCGGAGGATGCCCGGCTCCTGGCACTACTTCTGGAGGGGCCCCACTGGGAGCCGCCTCTCCAGTCCCTAGGTGCTGCGCCCGCCTCCCCTCGTCCTGGACCTCGGGGGACCCTGAGCCGAGTCCCCCCTGCCCCGCCTAACCCCAGCTTTTACGCTGGTCCTGGGAGAGGGGCCACTGAGCCACCATGCCTGATCTGGACATCCCCAGGGACTCCACCAGCCCGGCCCGTAGCCCAGTGGTGCTGGGACACCGGAGAGAAGGCGCCAAGGAACGAGCGCCCCCAGAGGCGCACCGCGGCTCCTGGCTGGGCGGGCGGGGTGGGTGTGTACGGGGGTGAGTGGTCGCCTTGCCGGCTGCCGCCTTCTTTCCCTTCCCCTCCAGGACCCTTCCTTCTCACTGCTCCCAGGGCTGCGCTCGGCAGAGACCCGCTTAGGCTTCTCAAGTCCGGCGCCTGAGTCCTGCCAGGCGCCTGCTCTCGCCTGGGGCTGAGAGCTTCTCAGGGAGTCCTGCGGGAGGCTGTTCGCCACCGGGCCCCTTCAAGGATGCTGGCCACAGGGAAGTGTCGCTTCTCGCCCCGGCTTTCCCAGGTGCCTCGCGTCTGCAGAAAAGCCCGGCCTTGCTGTCCCTCGCCTCTTCTCTCTGCCCCGCGGCGACACTAGCTGGGGACTGCGGAGCCCCGCCAACACCTCCCGGGGGTGACCCGGACTCGCTGCTCCGATGGCCCTTCTCTGGAGACTCCGAGCTCGCGGTGGCCGTGACGCCGGCTGCGCTCCTTCCCCCGTTGCCCGGAAGACCCCTCTTCGGGCCCCAGGCGAACTTGGGCAGCGGCCGCGCGACGCTGGCGCGGCTGGGCTCCGAGCACCTGCTCCTCCGCTAGCTGGCCCCGCGGCTCGGGGCAGGCGGGGCGGCGGCGGCGGCCGTGAGCGCCGTGCGCTCCTGGAGACGTGGTGCTGACGCGCCCGGCTCCTCCTCGCTGCATTTTAATTCCTGGCCACTGTGGCCGCTGCACACCGAGCGGGAGCTTCTTGCTGTAGTCGGCCGGGCGCGGGGTGGGGATGCGCTGCACAGAAGTGCCCCCGCGTAAGGGCTTGTGGGAGAGATAAGAAGTAGTAGAACTACTGTGTTGATGTGGCCCCAATGTAGATAGGGGTGAGAGGACTCATAAGTGTGTGAGATGGGCTGTAGAGAGAGCGAGTTGCTGTGTAGTGTGGGCATTTGAACACAGTTGCGAGTGTGGTGCCAAATATTGGGTGTGCGTAGGATGTACATTATGTATGTGTGAATGGGCATTTCTGTGAAACTCTTGAATGCGAGCATGTCTGCGGGTGGGGTGCTGTGGCCATTTAGAGTGTGTGGTGTATGCAGGATGTCCTGTCTGTGATGACATGTATGTTCCGTGTGTGGATGTGTGCGCTTACTGAGTACTGGGCTTGAAATGGATGTGTTGATGTGTGGATGGATATCAGGGCTTCCAGATGTGCTGTGTGGTTGATTTTGTGCTTGTGTATGTGTGTGTGTGTGTGTGTGTGCGTGCGCGTGTATGTGCATGTATGGCAAGTAATGAGTATGTATGTTGAGGCTTTGTGAGCAGGGTAGGCTTGGTGGGACAACTCATCCCTCCACTTAGGGACATCCCATGTGTGCTCCAGCTCCTTCCCTGGAAGTGCCTACTGCTCAACCCTGGCCCAGTCTGTCAAGCACAGCTCTCCAAGAGAGTGGGAAGGGGGAGTGGGACTTCCATGGACAAGAGACTCCATCTTTCCCATTTTCATCGCTGGGATCCGGCAGCCCACTGGTTGTCTGATGTCACACTTCCTTCCTGGATGGGCCCAGGGTCTCCCACTAACCCCTGGGCACTTTTGGACACTTTGATTTAATCTTTTGAATATTTAATATTTTGCCTTTACTTGTTTGGGAGGATGGATGAGACACACAGTGCACTGCTAGCTCCATTTCATAGGTGAGATTAGGGAGGCCAAGTATTTACCCAAGGTCACACAGCCTATAAGTGGTAGAGTTGGATTCAGCACCCAGTTTCCCAAAGCTCTAGCTCTTTCTACTGCACCACAAGGCCTTACAGTTTTCATTCTCCCAACCAAGCACCTTGAGGTCAGGGTGAGACTCTTACTTTTGTTGCTGCCTTGGCATGTAGTGTGCACCGTAGGACTCTACCCATATTTCCCAAATAGTTGACTCACTGAGGCCTTTATCTCTCGGAGTAATGGGGCTCAAAGTAAGGGAACACTTTGAGCCCCATTACTCCGCGGGATAAAGAGGTTTTCCAGACATTGTCCAGAGAGTAGAATTTGGTGGTGGAGGCAGTGTGAAGGGACCCCAAGGGTGGGAGGACACTCCAGTGGAAAAAGGACCAAAGTTTGTGTCCTTCGAGGAGAGGAGGCTTGGGGAAGCAGAGATTTGGGTGTGGAGAGGAATTTTACCCTCTTTGTAATGATGAATTAGGGGCAATTTGGTCAGATCTGTTGAATGAGCTGTGGGTTTCCAAGCAGGAGAGAAGCAGTGCTGGGGTGGGCTTTCCCTCCCTACTGACCTGAGGGCATCCCTGCCACGTGGTGACCCCTGCATCTGGTCTCTGGAGAAGAGGACCTCTGAGCCCCTCATTTCCCACTAGCCCACATACATACACCTGCACAGCCACACATGTACAAGCACACACATACACATACACACACAATACATGTACATGAACATATATACACCCAGTGCATGCTGTATACAACATAAACACACATACACATCACATACACAATACACACACATACACAAGCGTGTGTGGACACACACACACCTGGGGAAAATCCTGTTGCAGTTGGGTATTGATGACATTCAGTTTGCTTTGGGTCGTTTGCCTGAAGATGTCTGTTGCTGGCTTTGAGGAGAGGGCTCTGAAGCTGCCTACTGTCCTGGGGCCTCTAACAAAGCCTCATACTCCAGTGCTCCCTACCTGGTGTCCAGGGTCCTGGGGATGCCACAGTGACCCATGTCTTGCCCAAGGTGGGGTGACCTAGTAACCTCGGTGCAGTTACTGATGAAGCAACCGGGACAAGCATGTGCCATCTTCCAGCATCATAACTCTGGAGTGGGATGAAGCTCTATTCTATAAAAGCCTTTAAAACATTTTAGGTTTCTGATGTGTTCAGCTGTTGTGGGCTTCCTCTTTCTTGGCTATTTCCCTCTTGAAATGTACATGTGCTACTTTTGGTTGCCCGAGTGTCTTCTCTGCCATGGGGGTTTCCTGTTAATTCTCCAGATGGTAGCTCTTTCAGGGAGAGGAGGGGTATCCTGCTTAGGCCCCAGGGGGCCTTGACCCAGAAATCTAGAGAAAGGCACAGAGGCAGCTAGTGACTCCAAGCAATGATTAATGGCTCTCTTCATGGCACATGTGTGCAGCACATTTTCTATGCAACTTGAAATACTCCCACCCTCTTCTCTGTCTAGCACTTTGACCAGTCCAGTGGTATTCTGTTCTTTTTTCAAATCTCAGCATATGCATTGCCTCCTAGGTAAAGGTTTCCTTGATTCTCCCAGAGAAACTTGGGTCATGCTTTTTCTATGATGGCAACACAACTTGGAAGATTGATACCTCTCTGGTAGTCCCTGTTATAGTACCTTTTCATTGTTTGTGTCCAAGCCTTTCTGCTGGACTGTGAGCCAGCCCTTTGCAGACAGGGACTATACCTCACTCATATTTGTGTCCCTATCTCTTAGCACAGTGACCTGGCACATTGATGAAACACTATTACAGGGGAAGGAGAAAAGGCACTAGTATTTCTTGAACAACTACTATATGCCAGGTACAGAACTAGGCACATAAACAAATATTATTTAATTTCTCACTCCAATTCTGTGGGAGAGAGATTTTGGCCTTTTTTATATTACTGTTTGCTTTTTAGGGATGAAGCAAACATCCCTAAAAATGTTATGTTGCCCAGGCTGGTCTTGAAATCCTGGGTTCAAGCAATCCTCCTGCCTCAGCCTCCCAAAATGCTGGGATTACAGGAGTGTGATACCATGCCTGGCTAATTTTACCATTGTTGATGCAAAGTCTTGGTACACAGGATTTGAATACAACTCTAACTCATTCCAAAGTCCAGGGCTTCCCCCTCCACCACACTTCCTTTAAAAATTATATTATTATGGTAATAATATAAATGTGGGGCTTCCTAAGTGCTAGGGCCATCTCTCAGTGTTTTACACGAAAAACAAGTATCATAAATGCTCTAAGTGTTTAATCCTCAAAATAACCCTAGGAGGTGAATACTATTTTTTTCTCTACTTTAAAGAGGAGGAACCCTTAACCACAGAGAGGTTAAGTTACTCATTTAAAGCCACGCAGCTACCAATCAGGAGAGCAGACTTTGCACAGGTAGTCATTCAGTCCCTGTGTTCTCCATCCCTAGTCCATGCTGCCTCAGTTCTCAGAGGTACTCGGACACAACAGCTCCTGTGCATCAGTGTTACCATCCTGGGAGACTCCCTTGGCCAGAGCAACAATATCATGAGGCAGTACAGGGGTGACCCACATAACCTCTCCACCAAGAAATTAGCATGTAGCATTGTGATGTGCCAATCATAAGCTTTTAAGAAAATTTCCCTTGTTTATCTCTGAAACATCTGTTCACCGCACGTGGTGTTCTGGCATTCTGTGTGACATTGTGTGCAGTGGCAGGAAGGTGTTCTGGTCAGCCTGCCCTCATTCCGGGGTGT